TTAGAAAGCATGTTCAACACAAGACTAGTAAAACACAGAAAACCACGCAGACGCAACCTACAAATTGATTTTTGTTTTTTTACTTCTTTGTACTGTAGATTGCTGAAGGGAGAATTGCCTTCTACCAAAGAGTACCAGCATTTTTGCATTGTATGTAATGGAAAAAATCTCTTTGAGGAGAAACCAACGTTTGCCTTTATAACCACATCTCCAATTCTACCTAACTACAAATGATACGGGAAACTAAATATAATAGAGATTTAGTTAGAAAAATAAGACACAAGTCATCACCGGAGATGGAGAGATGACGAAAAACATCTTACAAAAAAACAAAAGTTAGACCGGGAGAAAAGGAAAGTTTACAATCACTAATTTCACATTCAAAGGTAAAATGGTGTAAAAAAATTTCTTCAGAGAGGAACTTTAGGATAGGGATAGAAAACCTAGTACAAAAACATTCCACATTGTCATAAAAGTTGTTTTTGTTCCCCTCTCGTTTTCTGAAAGCCCCACTAATCAGCTTGAAATTATTGATCAAGTTCCTTAGCCTGACTAGTTGTTCTTTTGTGAAGGGTAGTGCTGTTGGTATGCCTGATCTTGCAATATACACCTGGACCCTCACCTTAAGACAAGTTTTATTCGGTTTATTTCAGTTTTGCTAGCTAGTCTGTGTAAAAATGAGTAAACCATAATTGTTTTAAGTCAGTCATGATATTTCCGTCAAGTTTCAGCTGAGTGGTTGCTAAGTTACGAATTCAAAACAAGCATTTACTTTTATTATGTATATTTCAATACTTATTACAATTCATTTTAATACCTTATTTTTAACGGGTTGTGAGTGTTCGGAGCAAAAATCTTTATGTCCATTTGGTGTTTCTACTGCTGTTCCTCGGAACGGGAGGAAGAAGCTGATGTGGGAAGCAACTGCACCTTCGTGGTTCAGAATCAAGTCGTTTACAGGGTGAAGAAGGAAGCGGCAGGACAGCAAGTCGTGCAGCCCGAGGTCCCCGTGGTCCTCACGGAACCTTCGCCCGTCTGGGTCACACCGGTGCCGTCCGTCATCGACAGGCCCAACTCGAATCCAGTGAGGGACGAGGGTGTTGCTCATCTCTCACCCAACTTACCAACCGAACTGTCTCTTACAAATCACAGGGCAGACGAAAGTAACCAGACGCACGTTCTCAAGAGGCCCAACGTACCCGAGAGAAGCAGAAGGCCGTACAAGATAGTTTCGGTTTCGGACCTACCCTCCAAGCGGAATTCGAAAATAGAGCCTTCTCAACATTCTGCTCGAAAACGGCACACCGATCATGCGACGACCAACAGTTCCAGCACGACCCATCCCGTCATGTCTTTCTCCGACTCCGATTATGAAGACATTCCTGAGGGATGGTCTATCGCACACGCTGTAACATAAATCGGGCGAAATAACTCCTGCTTTTCATACTATATTTCAAATAAAATCACATTAAAATATTTTCAATTATTTTGTTCTAAAACAAAGATTAGCATTTGTTCTTAAATTTGAATCATCTGTTCTTTAGTGGAAATGTGTCTTCACCTTCTTTTGTCATATTTTTTATCTAATCCCCAATTTACCTATTTACTATAAAACAAGTGTGGCATGAAATACTTCTAAATAAATTCACCTGGCCATAATTTGATAACAGCTGAAATTTCCGAGAACTTTTCAAAAATGATTTGCCTATTACAATTATTTTTTGTCGATGTCCAGGGTTCCACTTAAAAATTAATCACCCATATGAATTTTATCCGAACTGAACGTGGATTGTACAACCGTCGGAAAGCAGAACATTTTTTTTATCTTTCCAATTTTATTTTAGAAAAAAGTCGGAGGCATTTGGAAGGCAACAATTTTGAGAAAAATTTAAAGGAGAAAATCGAAAAAAATAGTATTTAGGGTTTTTTAAGAATTCAAAACATAAATAGCAACTACAAACTATCGTCATTTATATTCCTACAGAACTGATTAAATGCACTTGCAGCATATTGTACATTACTTTCGACGACTTCGACCTCCATTTAAAGTCTCATTTTTATTATTTTCAAAGTTTATCGCATTTCAATCTTGTAATTTGAAAATCGTGTAAAGAATTGTCCTCTGAAGTTGATATTGTAAATTCTCCTTTTTTTATAATTATACAGGGTATCCCAGTTCCTTCTGACGAAACTCAGGGAATCGATTCTACTCTTCATTTGGAGCAAAACATACCCAGGAGAAAATTTTCGTAAAGTTCTATATTTTGAAGATATTCGTCAATTTAGGTTTTTCAACTTTTCACTACCTTACCACATAAAAACGCTTATAACTTCCAAAATCTTGAGACTACAACAAATCCAATTACACCATTTGAAAGAACGTTCAATTTCCTGTAAGATACGTCTATTTGATTTATTTCTACCCCCCTTCAAATTTACCTTAGCTCACGTTTTCGAACATTCAGTTGTTATTTTTCAACTCTACTAAACGTTATTTAAAAACCTGAATATATCAACATAAAACATATTAGATGAAAAAGTTTTTGTGAAATTTGACAAGTTGTAGGTATTTTTTTGTAACCTCAGTAGAACGTGCAATCATGACCAAAATTTTAAATTTTGTAATTTTGACATGTTCCAACTGATATTGGCTCACATTTTATATCATTCAGATTATTGCAAATAGAAATATCTAACAGCAAATTTAGCGTTATTTCAAATGGTGTAATTGGATTTGTTGTAGTCTGAACATTTTGGAAGTTGTAAGCGTTTTTATGTGGTAAGGTAGAAAAGTTAAAAAAACCTAAATTGACGAATATCTTCAAAATGGAGAACTTTCCGAAAATTTTCTCCTGGTCATTTTTTGCTCCAAATAAAGAGTAGAATCGATTCCCTGGGTTTCGTCAGAAGGAACTGGGACACCCTGTATAATTATGCATATTCTTGGAATAGTAGTGTACTCCGAACTCTGGCTGACGGTCTTAATAACGTGCAATAAAAATGCTGTGTTTTTTATTTTTAAATCTAAATTTCTTTCATTTTATAAATAAAGTATGTCTATTTATCTATCTATCTATCATAAATAGCAAATTTTTTTTCTTGTTAATGTGTACATATTTTAAAAATTGTATCGGCAGCTAGTCGTAGCATATATATCATTATTCTTGCGACGGATCTTGAAATATATAATGTGTGTCCGAGTGACTGGAATTGTTTTATTTTTATTTTTAGTAACTTTTTATTTATCTAGATTTCATTAAATACAATGCTGCATATTATTTTCTTGTCGTAGATAAAAAAAGTACATATATAATAACCGTGAAATCCATGCCCAATAAAGGCAGAAAAACATATTTAAAAAATTAGTTCGCCAAATATGGTCATGTTGCGAAGATAGTATTAACTGATGAAATTCTGATAGTCGTGAACAACGGTGCGATTTTGGACTGACGGCTGTTACAGCTGCTAGAAGTGGCAGAGAAAAACCTACATTTTTGATGCTTAAGAACTACCAAGTTCTTATTGCTAATGGGTTTGTTCCGGATCCTTAAGTACTGCAACGTCTACTGGACACAATTATTAAGAATTACAAATTACTAAATTACAGCGAAACTCATCTATGTAATGCTCCTGACAAGACAGAGTTAAAATATAGGGATGCTCTACCGCGCTACTATATATGCCAGATAGCCAGCCCAAATTTTTTTGTGCTTGTTTTCCTAGTGGTACGAGCTTTGGATTGATCTACTGGCTAAAAGATTGCTAATGCCGGTATATCTAAATGTGCTCTTTTGCAATTTTAATATTAAATAAAATATATTAAACAAATTTAAAAAAAATTTATTGAAAAAACAGCGTCTTTTTATAAATCTAATTATTTGTAATGGTAATGAAAAACAATTGTATTGGTAATTTTTCACTATCCTCAGTGTTTTTTTAAGTATAATAATGACCAAATTTCTAGCATAAAACTTGGTGCACAGTAAGTTGTATATAGCCAACTTATCAACTTTCACATCGCATGCGAAAAAATAATTTTTCAAACAATACTTTTCAGTGAAGTTATAGGGAAATTTCAAGCTTAAAATTCCCGATGCACGAAAATTTGGTTTTCATGGTCCATTGACGTTAAATGGGATTCCGTTTAGGCCAGTCGATGCCTGGCTTCCTTCGAATATCAACTGTGAGATGTATTGTAAACCCAGCGTTTATCGTCTGTTAAAATACGAAACCGTGAGAGAACCGGAATTCTGTTTTTCAGTTTGATAAAAAATTTTTACATTTATGTTGTCGTAATAACTAACATTGTAATAACAATTTATAACCAGTATTTTACACGTAACCATTAAATATACAATCTTATAATTAAAATAAGTGCATATCACAGAAAGTAAGGAAAGTATATTTAAAGAAACATTTCATCTGACCTCTCTCTCACTCACTCTCTCTCTCTCTCTCCCTCTCCCTCTCTCTCTCTCTCTTTTCTCTCTCTCACTCTCTCTCTTCTCTCTCTCACTCTCTCTTCTTTCTCTCTCTCTCACTCTCTCTTCTCTCTCTCACTCTCTCTTCTTTCTCTCTCTCTCACTCTCTCTTCTCTCTCTCTCACTCTCTCTATCTTCTCTCTCTCTCACTCTGTCTCTCTCTCACTCTCTCTCTCCCCATGCAAAAAAAAATTTAAAAAATATAAAAAAATAAAATAAAATAAAAAATATATTGAGTTAATCAAACTTTACAAGAACAAAAATGTTTTGTATCCTTTCCTCAAACTCAAATAATAATCACATTATTTTGCATAATATTCCTAACCAAAACCTACCAAATATGTTTAAGAGATATATGTATCGCTCATAAGAAATTGTGTGAAGCTCGTTGCAGTAGTTAATAAGAAATTTTGAACTTTGTCAACCCCTAAATTCTTTGAACATAAAATTGAACGATTAGTTGGAATCGTGATCGGAATTAACTTGTTTTTAAAATAGTTTTGTTTTCTTTGGTTTCAGCTGCAGACAAATCGATTTCCTCCTTCCGCAGATGAGAAGGACTGAATCGTTGGACGACCTCATGCCTGAAGAAGAGCCGGCTCAGAAGGAGAGGAGGGCATCCGATCAACCGCCCCCAATCAAACAACACAGATCAAACTCTTTCAGTAAGCCCGTGTAAAATAACGTGAATTGACCTAAAAAATTGCTGAATAAAAACTTTTTATTATATAACGGAGATGATAAATAAAATGAGATTTGAAATCAAACTATCATAAATTTAAAGGAACACTTACACGCTTGAAGCATTTAACACATTTTGAAATATTTTTATTGTTTACAAGTAGGGAAATTGGTAAATAATCACATATTTGTTGATCTAGTACTTGGGTAATTCGTTCACTGTATTTGCAAATTTAGTACATTATCTAGATCATGGGAGTTTTGATGCATGCGGAACAGGAGTTTTACTTCCTGTTTTATTGTATTTTACGATAACAAATAAAATGAATGACTATATAAGAAATAAAATAGCTTCCAAAAACGGAGGCCGTACGTCTGAAAGATTCGGATGTGAATTATTGACAAACCTTCCATCTTCTCAGATGATGCGAGCACGTACAAAAGCCTACGGTCAGAACCCGAATCGACATAAAGAAACGTAGACCCATCAATCATTCTTCTTTAAAAAAAAGAAAAAATAGTTGAGATACACCTTAGAAATACGGGGTACTGTAAATAATTTTTCTATTAGGGAGTATCTTTTACTTGATTATCTAATGTTTTATACGATATTCCCTTAAGTACACTTATATAAACGTTTGAATAGAAATTGAATTTTTTAAAAAGAAATTTGGGCTGTTTCTGAAATTGCAGAAACCTTTTAATGCGAAGAAAATGTGCCCAATAGAGAAATCACATATTTTGTATCGAAAATCAGAGATAAAGGGCAATTTGAAATATTATAATTTAATAAAGTAAAGATGATCAACCAGCTACTATTCACAATATATTTGCTGGGATCTGGGATATGGTTCAATGAATATTGTTTTATTTAAGTCTTCTGGGATCTATAAAAAATATACAAGTGTACAATTTTTTTAATTACTCAACTTTGTAAGTAAGAATCAACAATCAACTTATTTGTACAACTTACAGATTCAATATTTAAACATTATTTTCTTTTTCAGCATTTATAAATATTTTTGTTTGTTCTTTTACCATCTGTTCTTCTTGAATTCTAAATATAATGGTTTTTTAATAAATAAATAAAACTTTTTTACAATTTAATTCCACAGACTAAAACGGAACATTAACGTAGAGGACTAGTGTAGGTTACTCACAAATACGGTTATATCTGCCCACGTTTGGGACTTGTGCATTAAAATCCTTATTTTAATAATAATAAATAACAATAATAAATAAATAATTAAATTTATAACTTTTGATTTCTTTAACCTAATAAAACAATTTTTTACAAAAAAAAAAAAAATAAACAACTAAAAAACATTACATTTTGCGTAAATTATTTCTTTATCTATTTATTTTGGTCGTTTAAAATCCTATTGTAACTGAACTTAAAGCGTACCTGATTGCAAGTTACAGATGTTTTCATCATAAATATGTACATAATCTTTTTTTTTTTTGAGTCTACGGCTTAGGAGAGGTTCCTATGTCGTGATTTTTACCTTATAAAAATTGAATTTTGAGTTTTTTCATGATAATAATTAGACAAAGCAATACCTTGTCTATTTTTTACAATCATAAAATTGTTACGTTGTCTTATTCTTTCTCCTAGGTATTTCTTCGTCTGGCCGTATTATGTGGTAGGACTGTCATTTCATTTTAAATAGTTTGCCACATTGGAACTTTTTGAAAGAAATTCCATACTTTAAAAAAGAATAAAACGTAAAAAAAAGAAGAGATGGTAAAAAAAGAGACAGACATTTTTATACTTGTTGATAAAAGAAAATAATGTTTTAATATTGAATGAGAATTTGTGTTTTGTAAAAATAAGTTGATTGGTGATTCTCACTTAAAAATCTGAGTCACTAAAATAATTATATATTTGTATAACCGTTTTAAACACTAAAGAATATGAAATAAAACACCGAAAGCTTGGCCTCGTTTCAGAACGAACATTCATTGAAACGCTTCCCCGATCCCATCAAATTTTGTATAACAATTCAGTTCCTTCGATTAAATTTCAAGGAATACTCAAAGGAATTGTTTCTTTCAAACTGGCCTAAAGAAAAACACTCACCTACTTCGACGAGCTTTCCAGGAATACATCATTTTTATAAGGGCTTTGAAACTACAATTATAATTGACAAGTCTACGGTTAAGTTAACTCGTAATTTCATTATTATGGTAAAAAGTAACTTTGTAAAGTATCAATTATAATTCAAATGACATGATGAAGAGGATTAGTTTGAAAGCTGTTTTTTCTTTTTAATTGGCCTTGTTAGTGATTTTTAATATAAATTTATAATATATGATATTAATTATGTTAATTAATGATATTAACTATATGAACCATTGTATCGTCGAACAACTTTAAGTTTATTAAATATTTTTTATAATTGGGGCTCTTATTGTCACCATATTTGTTTGGAATAAATGGTTCTTGTGATTTTATGGTATTTTTATTTTATTGAAATTGTACGGCGGAGATTCCATAACGCAAGAGAGATAGGTCATGCTGGCTTAGCATACCTAGCGCCTTCTATTTTAAGTTTTTAACATGCTAATTGATCGAACTGAGTAATTTTTTTTAAATTGACCCTATTCATGATTTGTACTTAAAAATTAAAGATTGATATTAAAAGAAATAGAAAATATATTTTACATCTAATCGAAATATTACGATCTTTTACTGAAAATAACGGTGCAATTGTGAAGTTTTTTGTCAGGACGAGAAGCAGTATCATTAATATCTGAACAGCAATTTCTTCTATCAGGCCATCCCCCGTGACCGGAATCTCACCGGGCATCTGGTCGATACCAATTTTTAAGAAATAATCTTTAAGATTTGCCATTTGTCGACGTCCCCTTTTCCAAAGTCTGACAATCGTACGCTTTCCATTTTCGTCGGATTTGCCGGTTTGCAAACATGTCGACACTCAGAATACCACTCCGAAACGTTGGAACATTAATTGCTGAAGCGGGCCCTATTGTATATTCAGACAATTACTGAGGGTTTCCTCTTCGCAATTACACGGAATCGCTAATTTTCAGGCCAGTGGCCTTCGGAAAAGAGAACGTTAACAGTTCATGCCTCACTGCTTATAAAATTATGTTGGTCGATGAAAAACACGTAGAAACAATGATTTCAATTTAAAGATTTGTTTTAACTTCAAGGGTGAGTAGTAAAATGTAATTGGACTTAAACAAGCATCCTCACATTCTTTGTTTTTAACTCTATCCTCCTTTTCTCTTTCTCTCTCATTCCTCTATCTTTTTCTTGTTTTCTCTCTCGCTTTTTCCTTTCTCTCTCTCTCTCTCTCTCTCTCTCTCTCTCTCTCTCGTGCGTGTATATCAGGGCGAGTGGAAATAGGTCACGTTCAGTTTTGTCCAGAGAGATTGGGATTGCCCCACTACAATAACGAGTGGTTATCACGACGAAGATGTATATCGGCTGATCCGCCCCGTCTTGATTCCAGATAAATACAAAATTGTAAACTGTTCGCAATCCCTAATTGTTCGCGATATGAAATTCAACAACCTGCTGTCCTGGAGCAGATGAACCCTAGAATTAGGTGTCTCAATTATAGGAATCATAACGGCCAACTACCCATTCAAAATAATATTTAGAATAGATATTTATTCAGAAACCGTGAGATGCGGTCTGGTTTCGGTAGGTTTCAGAAAAACATTTTCTTTATCGTGCCAACGTTTCGATCTTTATTGAGATCATCTTCAGGGCCTGGGATTTACAAACATTGTGTACATATAACAATTACATTTTGGATGCGGAAAAGTGAATTTATACAATGCAAAATATATTTTTTATATATTCAATCAAAGTATTTCTACTCACTCAGCATTTGTCTTCTGTGTAATTGTGCCATTCTTGCGTGTCGTATCGAGAGGGCCAGTGAGATTTTGCTGTTTTGTGTTTATATACGTTGGATTTTGTGATGTAGGCTTCACACCAGACCGCATCTCACGATTTCTAAATAAATATCGATTAACGGTCACTAATCACCACACATTTAGAGTAGAGACGATCCTCTCCCGAGTGCAACTCATTACGAACTCAAAAGTACTACTCTACTACAGAATGAGTAATGTACTGAACCCACTAAAATTCGGCGTACATGAAAAAATAAAGGCTTTAAGGAAAGGGGCAAATGTAATTTGTTTATTTGGCAGACGTTTTATAACATAAAATACTGCGGAGCAAAGATTAAAAGTAAAATATGATAGACTTAAATGAATGTAAACAAATTTTTTTGATATTCGAGACTTTTTTTATTGTATGTTTGGCATATATGTTTTTCTCGAAAATATTTTAAATAAATCATATCTTCTTATTGGAGTGAATTAGAAAACCCGTTTCGCCGAATTCTACTTCATTTACCGTCTCGTATCACTCAATTTCTATGGGTAGTACAAATATTGACATTTTTGGCTTTATTCGTACATCGGAAGCTTTTAATATCGTAAGATTTGAAAGAACATCTAGGAAAAATAATTTCAGATTTCTCATGCATAAAAATCGTTAAAAAAAAGAATATTTTAGAATTCTGACGCACATCAAAAAGACTCCCTAGGCCAAGTTTGGAAGAGGTTTTTGCCAATTATTTTTCACGAACTGTGAAGATAAAAAAGAAATCCTGCATTAATTATAAAGACACACTAGATCTTTTTTTAATGTACAGGCTGAAAATAAATGACTTTATTTATTGTTATGAATGGATATGGAAGCCACTTTTAACCCCGCTATAATAATATCAGCCATCGGTGCTGATTTTGTATTATCAGGCATCAGTCTAGGTTAAAAGAGAACACCCATTATGCTTAAAACAGTAGGTTTTCATTAGAAATAGATGTTAATATCGTATGTTTGGTATAAGTGATTTTTCATATTTTGTAGATTTTAATTTAATTGAAATTGTACGGAGCCGAAATAAACCATAACGCAAGGCAGATCGGTCATGCTGGTTTAGCATCCCTTGCTTCTTAGATTTATATTATACATGCTCGACGAAGGAATTTTTCAATTAGCTTTATCTTTATTTTTAATTAAAAAAGGGAAAATAGTCCTTTGTTTAACTCAAGACACTTTTCATCTTGGTCGGATTTCAACCTGAAAATTTATTTTATTTTCAGGTGGCTACGGTGGAAACTTAGGCGGCTTGGACCCAGCGCTTTACAGAAACAGGGGCGACTTGGAAGACGAACTTCATTACCCGGAAGGACATTTGGGACGAGTCTGGTTCTACCTACGCTACGAGGCCGGCTGCGAAAAGCTTTTAGTGACGCTCCTCAAGATGAAGAACCTACCCAGCAGGACCGTCGGGACGGCCAATGGTTGCGATCCGATCGTCAGGTGAGAAAAAATGATAAAGAAACTTCTTCCGATGTCACTGACCGATGTGGATGATAAAAGCCTTTGCTCGTCCACATCGCTTTTGTTTTTATGTCCGCAAGGAAATTTCCGCATCCATCACGCCCGGGACGTTAGGGAAGATGCATGGATTTCAATTCCTCGCAAAGTTCCACAGGCGTTTTCTCTGATTCACCAAGGAAAATGTACGAAACAGATCTGACTGGACAGCATGAAAAACGATTCAAGCATTCTTATTATGGCATGGCAATTTACGAAAGAAGGCAGATAAAGAATCTTGGATCGTTGACTTTTATTTAGTTGACATAACAAGAGCAATTTTTTATTTATTTTCCTTAGACTTTGGCCAATAGCTACCGTACGTAGCAAATTAAAAGCATGTAATAATTGAGTCTTTTCTTTGCCAAGAACAAACAAACATTTTTTTAGAATGAAATATAAATTGCGTTCTTATATTTTATGTTGTCAATGTATGTTTGAAAAACCATAAAACCTCGTACTAAATGATTCAACTTCATTTATTACTGAATGAATGCACGTATTACGATTATTTCCCTTTATCTTTAAAAACCTCTATTTCGTTTTTTAGATCCAAAATTTTCTCTCAAACGCACATAGCATAAAATATCAAATTTGGCATTATTCTACATTTTAAACATAAACGTTGATTTATTATAATCAAATAACTCAAAACAGGCTGTAAGACATTTCGACCTTATATGCCAATTTTGATTTTTTTATCAAAGACATTTGGAATTGAAGATTAGTAAAAGTACTTTTTTATAAATAATTTATGATAGATATTTAATCTCGGCAAACTCTCAATAAATCTAGAAAAAAATTCTCAATAGTTAAATTCACTTGTTTCGTGGTCCGCTTGACCAATTAATATCTTACAATTAATTAAGGTTTTCAGTTGAGATAAAAAAGTCCGTGGCACGAGCGGGATTCGAACCCACGATTTTCGGCTTGATACGCCACTGCTCTACCACATGAGCTATCGTGACCTCGATCCACTCGGACACCAACCTCCCATCTCAACCACACCTTTTGAATTTTCCCTCCTTTTTGCCATTTTTCAAATGTCGTGTAATCAATTTGATTTTCGGCGACAAATGGTCAAGGTCACGATAGCTCAAGTGGTAGAGCAGCGGCGTTTCAAGCCGAAGATCGTGGGTTCGAATCCCGTTCGTGCCATTGAGTTTTTTTTATCTCAACTGAAAACGTTAATTAATTGTAATTCTCACTAGTGTTTCCGATATATCTTTCCTTGTGACAGGTTTGTAAAATATTCCAATTGTTTTCAGATTTAACAGATTAGACGTCAATATATATTATAAGTTATTGTGTATAAATATTACTTTATCTAACATTCATCAGATCAACTATGTTTTTAAAACTTCGAGTGAAAGGAAACAGTTTTTATTCCTCCTAATAATTAGCCTGACAGTAAAACTATAAATACTGAAAAATTAATCATTTTCATTTTGAAGAAGAAAAAACAGAAAATAACCTAACATTCGATATGTTTTCATTTGTGATAAAACAGGCCGAAACAAAATACACAGAAGCGGTGTCATCACCGATTATTCGACCTATTTCGTCCGAAATACACCAACTCAGAGCGGTTGCCCTTTTTTTATTTCCAACAGATAAAACCAACTTTCAGCACACTGGCAAAAAAGCTTTTCACACTCTGATCTACTTTTACTCGTGACATTTATCGCCTCATATAATAAATAGGTTCGTGTTTATAAAAATAACAGTTCTGCGCTGAAGAAGCTAATATATTCGATTTTAAAATTTAACAATAATAAAGAAAAATCAGTTTTATCTTGCTTGTAGTCATATGTTTACTGTTGCGCTTCATTTTAGTGAAAATTATTTTTATAAAACTACACATACAGACACTCAAAACGAAACAAGTAATTGTAAGCGTGAACATGTAGAGGGGGAGAAATAATGAGATGGGAAACGAATGAAAGAAAAAGAAAGATAGAAACAGAAATAGGGGGATAGCCGGAATGAATGAATATCGTTTTCTTTAACAATTCTTGTTAATTTAGGTCGCAAACTTTTCTTACAAATAACGTGAATTTAATTTTCAGAGAGCAAGTGTGAGAGAGAGAAAGAAATAGAGGAAGAGAGTGAGAGAGAGAGAGCGAAAAAAAGAGAAAAAGTGAGAAATACAGCAAAAAGCAAATAAAATATGATACGGTTAATGCATAAACTTAGCAGAAACCATAAAAAGTGAAATATGGTATAGAAGTTAGTGCAAGGGATAATAGGAATGGTAAAGAGAGGAGAGATTGATTGATTGATTATCGCTTTATTTAACAATCACTCAACGTTTGGTCTCTAGGACTAAAGTGAAATTACAGCAACATGATTTTATAAACTCTACTCAATCAACTATACACAACAAAGTTGAACAAATTAATTAACTTCATTAATTTCGTGGTCCGCTTAACCAATTAGTATATTACAATTAATTAAGGTTTTTAGTTGAGATAAAAAAGTCAATGGCACGAGCGGGATTCGAACCCACCCAAAAACGGCAAAAAGGAGGGAAATTCAAAAAGGTGTGGTTGAGATGGGAAGTTGGTGTCCGAGTGGATCGAGGTCACGATATCTCAAGTGGTAGAGCAGCGGCGTATCAAGCCGAAGATCGTGGGTTCGAATCCCGCTCGTGCCATTGACTTTTTTATCTCAACTAAAAACCTTAATTAATTGTAATAAATTAATTAACTCTTAAAAGCTATATACTTGTTTACAGTGGATTAACACATACAAAATAAAAAGTAAACTTTAACAAATAACAAACGTAACTTCTATCAGGAGAAGAAGAAAAAACTTACAATAGACATTTGTAAGGGTTTAACATTATAAACTTAAGTGACAGTTGTAAAGATATATTATCAACATCTTAACATGACAGTCTTTGTACTTAATTGAGAAAAAAGAGGGAAAAAATTTATATTACAGTTTAATATTTTTAAACATATTTTGATGTTGACACTACTCAGTCTACTATACACAACAAAGTTGAAAAGGGAGAGAGAGAAAGAGAGAGAGAGAGAGTGAGAGAGGGAGGGAGCGAAGGAGAGAGTGAGTGATCAATGAGAATGAGGATGAAAAGAGATACAGAGGTTAAAGAGACTGTTTGTTGCCTTCACTTTAGGAGTTCAATGGCCTCTTGACCCCACAATTTATCTGGTTTTGTTAGGACGGAAGTTATGGATAAATGGAATCGGTTTCAAAATAATGACAAATTCAGCTTTTCCCTCTTTGTTTAAATTGTTCATTCTGGGCCACCCCGGATATGCTCGAGGGCCGTGGAAACGCCAGTTTTACAATGTCACGTATGTCACTAGGAGGATTAAGCCTCCAGGTTACTTGGAAAAATGAAGCACGGGAAAGCCCGAGATGGAAAATTTATTAAATAAAAATGTGGAACGAAATTGTAATAAAGCCTTATTATACCAATTTACACTGGAAGTTGAATCGTACTATTTGAAACAAAACATTCTATTAAATTTTCAATGCTTTATTGTCAGAAGCATTGTTATACATGTCAACAATTTAAAATAAAATAAATTGGAGAAATGTTTTGCTGTTATAAATGAAAGGACCATTGAAAAACCTCATATAATGTGTCATCGTGTATTTGATTAAAATAGAGCCCACGTAACTGACAAGTACACATTCTTAAGCCTTCTCTGCCTCCCACATGTGCCAAATGAGCCTGAGGCCTGTTAGTGAGATAATGACATTTAATAATAATGAAATACTTTCGCCTAGAAAGCAGAGTTCTGGCTGAGATGTGGGCCCTGTGATATTATTCAAAGTTTTCCTAATTTAACGTGAGCACTTAAGACACGTTCTTGAGGGTGAATAGGCCTTAAACTGCTTGCATAATGGGTCTCCATGGAACTTAATTTCTCTTTGTTGCTTGCTACAATTTATTTTTCTATTTTATAATAAGATTATGTAATAGTCGCAACCTAATGTTTTTATAATCAGACATCTTCCGGAGGAATTTTTTATAAATACTATTATAAGGTCTGTTTCAGTTTCGTTATCAAAATAATGGAACTGAATCTTAAAAAGACTTGTTTTTAAAAATCCTCTCTTTGCGATTATTTCAGCATAAAAAAATAGTTTTATGTGAATTATTGTAACGATTTTTTAAAATTGTGTTTTTAGGCTTCATCTTGTCCCGAACGAGAGAAGGGTCCAGCAGTCGAGACAGAAGAAGAAAACTTGCAATCCTTTCTTCGACGAGACTTTCGTCTTCCAGGTCAGACCCAATTTAAATATATTACCTAACTCAATGACAACTTTGACCTTTTTTACAAGTTGCCGACGATACAAATAGACCGTCTTCTCTTTGACTATGCGTCAATTCTTGCCATATTCAATCAAGAAACTTGTAAAGGACAATAGATCAAATTTGTCAAAACGTCAATTTTACACGTTCCCAAAGTGGAACGAAAGTCAGATCGGCGGCGGCTTTGTTCTCAAAACACGTGTTTCCCTTTTGCAAAATATTTAATCGAACAGCTCCTGCGGAAAGATAAGGAAGTTTTTTTACAAACGCCACGACACCTTCCGACCCTGATAGCATTTACAATATTTTTAAACGCTCTTTCTCTCATAAAATGTTTTCCAACATAATTTATATATTTATTTAATTTTATTTAAAAATGGTATATTTAGCAGGTTTATTGTTAAGACAGAACATGAAAAAATTTAGTAGAAATTTATCTTTTTTACCCCCTGGTCACTTTTTCAATTTTTTGTTTGATCTTTTTTAAACCTAATTATTTGCAATATCTCCACACTGCAATTAAAAGTAATTAAGTAAAACTTAAAAGATAGGTGGAAAACATTCTTATAGGTTTGTTTAATTAAATGCTTTCTTACACCTCGAAACTCAATCTATCTATCTTAAATTAACATTAAACTTTTTTTTAGTTAAGATTTTTTGACTGTAAAATAAACATTTTATACCAACAAATGTAAATTTTGGTATCCCATTTTCTGTATCGATTTCCAAATAAATAAAACCTTATTTACGACCGTCTATTTTTCTACTTGAGCCGATTACGTCTGGTTTGTTTTATACCTGTTTGTTTCGGGTCCAAGGACGGCACTGTATTCATCAAGTTTTTTTATTTCCCGTCGGGCAATCTATTGTAAAGGGAAAGAAAGTTTTCCAATTGCCTGAATGTAATTTGTAAAATTCGATTTGATTTGACACGAGTAAGCATAACGTACGTCCATTTTGGTTATGCATTTGCAGCAACACAGTTGTAGAGTTAAGCTAATGTTTTTAAAAAGTTGTAAAAAAATCAACGATCAAGTCGACAAGGTGAAACTAACTTTAAACTAGTTTCGACAGGAGACGGAGAACGTCTATTAATTGCTAACACGTGGCTTGATTTTCTTAGTTTTCGATCGAACGTAAACAATTTTGTAAGCAATTTCATGTAAACGCACAAAGGTTCTTAGAATAATTAAAATTTTCAAATAAAGTAGACAAAAGTACAATAATTAACCATATTAACTTATTAGTTAAAGTGAAATTATAAAAAAAAATGGAAAGAGATCTTTTAAAAATAAAACGTTTAAGAAAAGGACATCATTACAAATTAATATCAATTAATAATTATTAAAATAATTATTAATAATAATATATTATANTTAATAAATAATATTAATAAGGAATAACGTAATTTTATTATTACCCTTACGCAATTCTTGAGAAAAACACTGACCTCTTTATATGACAGGTGTCCGAAAAAGAGTTGGCGGACCACTCACTGAGGATGACGGTGGTTGACAGCGGACGTAACAAGCGGTCAGGGACGATCGGTCACATCACATTCCCCCTGCGACACCTCGCCACGGAGCATCCCAACGACCAGCTCGAACTGCTCAAAATGGATTTGGAGAAGGTCAGTGTTGTCCAATTGGACGTTGGCAGTGTCACGTGTTTTAATAATTATTTTCATTAGGGGCTGATTGACAGCTTTACGCGCCCTGTGAAAATGTACTATGTACATTCTAGTTTCGTATTTGACAACAAAATGATTTGAAAAATTGATGAAACACGGCTCAATTTTGATGTATGATGCTTAAAAAAACGTATTTTTCTGAAACAGAAATGTCTATCAAAATTAAAATCCATTGGGTAAAAGTACGAGAAAGAAAAAAGTAAATGTATTTATTTGAATTATTTATGATTTATTATATACGCCTTATCATTTTTCTTTGCTGACCTCTAACAAAAAAACGAAAAAAGTTTAAGAAGGAAAAACCAGGTGGACGTTGGGAAAAAATTTCGCTACCCACTTTGAAGTTATCTACCGGAACAATATGATCTTTTATTTTTCATAAAGTTACATGATGTTTTGTTTTTTAATTGCCTATTACGTCAGTAGGCATGGATCGCCGTTTCAGTACTTCAGTTTTATAAGAGTTTAAATGTATGTTGTATGTGTTATGTTTTATGCGTTTTATGTTTATTCTGTGAGGCGTTTATGCGTATCACTTCGCCTTATCATTCTTCTACTGAATGTCCAAAGCCGGTTGGGTAGGGCTTTCGCAGCTGGCGGTGCTTCCGAGGGAAGGAAGAAACGTGAAAATCTTCATGTGTTATGAGTTTATGGTGTTTCTTGTTCTTTTCATAGTCTTTTGACAGCCTGAGGTAACTTCGAGAGGTTGGCAAGTAGAGAAAACCGGAGACAAAATATGACAGACAAAGATGAGGGAAAAACAAACGAATTTTTGTTTAAGCACGGAAGGCCAGCAATGACCACCACTTGATGTTTGTCGGCCCATAAATAGTACATACATACGTATAATTCTACTAGAAACTTGGATATTGCATTGTAACTTAGATTAAGTCCAAATGTGCGGTGTTTAGTGACCGTTAGTTTACGATTATTTGGAGATCGTGAGGTGCGGGCTGGTGGGGCGTAGGTTTTAGAAAAACATTTTCTTCATGATGCAAACGTTTCGATCTTTATTGAGATCATCTTCAGAGCCTGGGATTTATAAACATTGTTTATATTTTACAAATACATGTAGGATGGAAAAAAATGAATTTATACAATGCTAGAAATTTAGATTCAATCAAAGTATTTGTACTCACTGAAAGTGTTTGTTGTAGGTGTAGAAAAGTTTTTGAAAGCTATAAAACAATCCACACACTTTTTCCAAAATTAAAAATCCCACCCCAGTAAGTAATAAATCTGACGTAATTTACAAAATCAATTGTTTAAACGGTCCGGCAACTTGCATCGGTATTACATCCCAATATCTGGATAAGAGAGTAACGCAACATTTCTATGATTGCAAAAAACCCAAACAAAACCCTACACCACTCGCTACCCATCATTTTGAACACAAACACAATTTCGACTTCAACAATCCAAAAATATTACGCACACAAAACAAACATAAACGTAACCTTTTAGAAATGGTTTACATCAACAGAGATAAACGCAGCATCAATTACAGAACAGACACATGTAAACTCAGTCGCAGCTACGCTAATATCATCAATCAAATTAAAAATCGATAACATACACATATCATCATCACATCACACAAAATATATAATTCTATGATATCACCAGACTGCATCTCACGATCTCCAAATAATCATTAAGTACAAATTTTATTTTATTTTTATTAACTGGAAATGTATTAGTCTTTAATTGTAGGTGCGATTTTCTCAGTGGAACAATTTTTTTTTTCAGAAAAACAGTGTGGTGAAAATAAATCTATTCCAATTCACTAATGTATTCCGCCATTCAATTTGCTAGTTGGGTCGACTTGGGGAAACTTTATTTGATGGAACTGACCGTTCTTTTCTCAGAAACAGTTCGACATAAACGATTAGCACTTTCGATAATTGATTTATTAGATACGCCTTATCATTCCTCTCCACTCAACCTTAATAAACGGTTTGCTATCCTATCGTATAATCCTTCATGGAAAAGGTTCTGATTAAAATTCCAACGTATCTGCTATTGTTTTTACCTGTTCGACTAGTTTTTTGCATTTTCTTTGTTATTTATGACTACGATTTAACTATTAATTAAATATTTTCTTATGTTGATGAGTTGTTTGAGTCACTTGTAAGCTTCCCAGTGACAACACTCCTTCACACTGAAACCTACTCAATTAATTATACACAATTTTTTGGAAATGAAAAATTTGTGTCGCAGGTAAAATCAGTTCGAAGTCACGGTAGCTCGAGTGGTAGAGCAGCGGCGTATTTAGCCGAAAGTCGTGGGTTCGAATCCCGCCTTGACACAAATTTTTCATTGCTGCTCCGGGCCACTTTCGCTTCACTTGAGGACAGACACTCTTAAGCAAGATAAAATTTATAAACTTTTATTCAGGTTTATTTTATTTTCAACTTTGTGAACCATACGTCCAATAATGAAATTGGAATTTCACCCAGTATGGTAATTGTACTTGAGCATGCAGCAAGTATCTGATTCCGTTCCGATTTTGTAGGTAACAGGACTGTTTTATTGTATATAGTACTTGGCAGATATCTCTTCTTGTGCTTCTTAGTGTTTATTGAAAATAATGAGTACGAATATGTGAGAGAGGTTGGATGGGGGAATATTGAGTACCCTCAATTATTTTAGTTACAAAATGAGGGTGACGGAGAAATATCAAGTACGCAATCAGCCTGATTGAATGGCATGTCAATAGGAATGCATTTAAGTGTGAGTGAGAGTGCGAATGGATTTAGGAATTGTTTGCTTTGGATCTGAAATAACTGTTGATAGCCCTTGAACCCAACCTCGGCGTCTGGGTGGATAAGACCGAGGTCTGACTAGGAAGCCCATACCGGGGGTGGGTTTCTCACCCTCTCTGGGTGGGTCTTCTTGAGGCAAATTACACAAAAGCTAGAATTGCCGGCGAACTACGAAAAGTGATAGGCTCAACGCTCTCTGTTAAGAAATAAACGTTTTTCATAAGAATTTTGGCCTATTATCTTTGTCCGCTTTTTCTTGCTGTGTGTCTTTTTATTTTTATAGACCAAGAAATAACAATTTATTTGTCCAATTCTATTAATATTATCCTTATAGTGTCCAGTCCTGTTAGAATGTTAAGTTATTTATTCCATTCTAAGTCCCATATATCAAATTAAGCCATATTTGCTTTGTAGAAATGATAAATGATGGAGTGAGTGTGGTGTTCAATTCTTTTTAAAAGGATAGTTCCTACTCACAGTAAGTTGTTTTGCAACGATCCGGATTTCGAGCCTTTTAGCTCATCATCAGATTGTAGAAGTCCTTCAACCTGATGATGAGCTAAAAGGCTCGAAATCCGGATCGTTGCAAAAAAACTTACTGTGAGTAGGAACTATCCTTTTAAAAAGTATTTGCTTTCTGGTCATGGTTAGGGATGGTTAGTTGATTATGGTCATAATTGACCATATTAATTATTCCATTTAATTATCCTTTTTTCTAAGTTTTTGGGTTATGAAAATTAGTGACTAACGGGATTCGAACCCACGACCTTCGACTGAATACGCCACTGTTTTAACCAATAGTCACGATAGCTCATGTGGTTGGATCAGCGGCGTTTTGAGCGGAAGGTCGTGGGTTCGAATCCCACTCGTGACACTAAATTTTCACCTCAACCAACAACCTTAAATAAATAGAATAATTAATTGGAATATCAAATGTTGTAAATAAACAACCTGTTTGAGTCGAGTTAATAATAGGGCATTCCATTTAACCACGTCAAGCCCTATACCATTTCCGGTAGCGTTTATACACTTTATCCGTGAGTAAGGTTGTAACTTTGCAGCAAAATTCACGGAATTGCCAACTGACAACGGATTTACCAGCTGCGTTCAACAGAATCACAACGGAATGCAAAATAAAAGGGGAAAATTCATTATAAAAAGCGTACGTGGCCGGATTTAAAGCTGACGGCGAGGGGATCAAATAACAAAAGGTGCTTGCCAAGACTAATGACAAATATCCTGAAGCATTGTATTTTTTCTTTTTACAATTAGTGCTCAAAGCGCCCAAGCCGTTTTTTAAACATTTTTAATAAAACAGAGTGTTGTTCTTTCTTTCCAGTCTGTCCCTTGAGTAATAATGCCAAAACCTTCTCGTCTTACTCCACCAGTAATTTGAAAAAACCTAAAGCGCACAGTTTAGCATATATAAAAAAACTCATAGTCACAGCTTATGTTATAAAATAAAATGGCGAAATGATTATTCTAATAATACGCTTTTGGTGGGTTGCTCGGTCAACATTTGCTTGGTTAAATTTTTTTACAGCAAGCAGCAAAGTTGATATAATTTTTTTTACTCTAAAAATCCCTGAATACAAACTTTAGTTCTTCGGGCTCTTGGCAACGTTTCCGCATATGACTAATATTTTGCAATATAGAATCACCATTTATGGAACTTTCGAGAAATATATTCTTTCACATCAGGACTGTAAATGAAAACTTTAATTAATAACTTCATATTAAAAAAAATATTCTAACTTTTTCAGCTATTGTGTAATGATTGCTAAGTAATGTTAACATAAAAGTGTTAATGTCCTGATGTGGGAGATATATTCCTAGAAAACCCAACGAAAGATCTGAGTGCTGTTTTTCTAATTGGCCTTATCCCATATCGTTTTTAATAATATAAAATACTTATTCCTATGAGGATTTAAAAAAAATAAATTTTCACATATCTTTTTACAGTCTTTTAATATCTGGTAGAACCTAAGGTTAAATAAATATTTTTACATAAAACATTGAATCATATGTACTCTAACTCTATACTTGACCCAACCACAGCTGAACCTTGAAATATATTACGCGAACATATTCTCTACGATGAAAGAAGCTTGATGTTAAATATTCCAATTAATTAGTACGGTCAATTATGACTGCTAAACAAATATGGCTTAATGT